GTGGGGGGTTCCCCCATCTCCACTGGGATGGAGTGTTGGGATTACAGGAACCTAGGTGGCTCTTGAACACCTTTTGATGTAGATTGCAGGATGTGGTCACAGGAACCACATCAGTTTATTTAATTCTGGGTTCTTTGACTCCCCTCACCTCACTTTTGTAGGGGTAAACTTTTTTCTCTCCTATATTCCAAATCTACATGACAAAATCTAGAGAAACGTCTCTTGTCTCCTCTCCTGAGATGGAGAAAGGTGCCAGTGACGTCTCCTGTTACTTCAGGTATCTGTCCTTATGAATTGGAAAGGAAGCTTGCTGAAAGCAGACTGGAGGCCTTCACAGAGAAGCCCGCCCCTTTCCAGCTGGCTGACCTGTCCACTGTCTGGAATTCTCCCATTGGAGTCCTGGGGTTCCTTATTCTCATGCTGAGAAAAGCCAAACATGACTTACGATAAAGCAGCATCCTGCAAGACCGCAGAGCAGGGCACCGCTTCGTCCCTGGGTGACCGGGGAGCTGCAGAGCTGCCTTGCTAGGTTTGGCTGAGACCCCGGGAGGACCAGTCTCGGGCACCTGGTGGGGAGGGGGGGAAAGGGACTTGTTTGAAGTTACAGAGAGTTTTTGGAGGAGGCAGAGCAAGAATGTTGGCCTCCGCCGCCTGGTTCATTTCTCTGCACCTCACTGCCCTCTCCATGCCAGCCCTACCTAGAGTCCGTGGAAGAGGCTGCCCGTAAGGAATGATCTGAAAGACCTTGTGCGTTGGAATCCAAAAAGATGATAAAGTGCGGAGATGAGAGAGAGAGAAAAGACCCTGAAAGCCAACTTCCATTTTCACCCCGAGACCTCAGCTCATCATATAAAGACAAACAGTCCAATTAAAAATTGGGCGGAGGGTCTCAATAGACTTCTCTGCAGACAGACAGATGGCCAAGAAGTGCAAGAGAAAATGCCCAACATCGTTAGCCATCAGGGAGATGCAAATCAAAGCCAAAATAAGATGCTGCTTCACACCCACTAGGATGGCTCTAATCAAAAAGATGGACAGTGACAAGGATGGGGAGAACTAAGAACCTCATTACACTGCTGGGGGAATGTAGAATGGTGCAGCTACTTTGGAGAAGTCTAGTAGATCCTCAAAAGGTTAAACATAGAGTTACCCTATGACCCAGCAAAGCCACTGGTAGGGTAGGTACCAGGGGAAATGAAAACATATATCCATATATATAAAAACCTGTATATGAATATTCATGGCAGGGTTATTTTTAATTGTCAAATGGAAACAACCCAAATGGCCATCAACTAATAAATGTATAAACAAATTGTAGGACATCTATACAATGGAATAGTATTCTACTGTATAAAGCAATGCAGTAATTCATTGCAGCATGGATAAAACATGGAAACATGATGCTGAGAAGAAGTCAAACATCTGAGATCCTTACCAAGCTCAGCTTTGCTTTTTCCAGTCCTCCAGAAAAGTGAAAGTGAAAGTCACTCAGTCCTGTCTCTTTGTGACCCCTTCCCTCCCCAAACTGGAATCCATCCCTTGAATCTTCTTTTCCCCATCTCTCTGTGTATACATTCATTTATCTATTTTTGTTACAGCTTTGTTGAGATATTCACACACTGTTAGAGTTCACCCATTTAAAGTGTCCAACTCATTGGTTTTTAGTAGATTCAAAAAGTTTTGCAGTATTTGCTATAATCAATATTAGAACATTTTCATCACCCTAAAAGGAAACTCTATACCCACTAGCAGTCACTCTATTCTGTGACCCTACCTGCAGCCCTTGGCAACCATCAATTTACTTTCTGTCTCTATGGATTTTCTTTTACTGGGCATTTCATATAAATGGGATCAAATGATAAACAGTCCTTTATGACCAGCTGTTTCACTTACATCATGTCAGAGTTCGTTCATGTTGTAGCATGTGTCTAAATTTTGTTTTTATTGTTAAATAATATTCCATTGAATGAGTGTACTGTATTTTCTTTATCCATTCATCAGCTGATAAATCTTTGCCTAGTCCTAGATTGTGAAATTTACTCTTATGTTTTCTTTCAAGAGTTGTATAGTTTTGGCTCTTACATTTAGGTCTTTGATCCATTTTGAGTTAATTTTTTAAGTATTTATTTACTTATTTGTTTGTTTTATAATGTCCACAGCGGCTTTCTTTGTAGTATAACTAAACTTAGAACAACTATCAGGAGATAAATGGAAAAAAAACTCTAGTATATCCATACAAGGGAATGTGACTCAACAATAAAAAGGAGTAAACTATTGACATGAACTGAAGTGGAGTGGAAGTTGCTCAGTTGTGTCCAACTCTTTGCGACCCCATGGACTCTACAGTCCTTGCAATTCTGCAGGCCAGAATATTGGAGTGGGTAGCTGTTCTCTTCTCCAGGGTGTCTTCCCAACCAGGGATCAAACCCAGGTCTCCTGCATTCCAGGTGGATTCTTTACCATCTGAGCCACCAAGGAAGCCCAAACTATTGATAGATGGAACTATAAAGATCAATCTCAAAATACCTTTGCTGAATATAAGCCAGACAACCAAACAGTACATTTGGCTACACCTGGTCTTAGTTGCAGCACACAGGATCTTCTGTCTTCATTGCAGCCTGCATTAGATTTTAATTGTAGCATACAGTATCTTTTGGTTGTGGCCAGCAAACCCTTAGCTGCAGCACTTGGGATCTAGTTCCCTAACTAGGGATCAAACCCAGGTCCCCGGCATTGGGACCGCCAAGTCTGAGCCACTGGACCGCCAGGGAAGTTCCCATTTTGAGTTAATTTTTGTATATGTTATGAGGTGGTGGTCCAAAATCACTGTTTTGCATGTTGTCCTGGAACAGTTTTTGTAGAACTATTTTTCCCCCACTGAATTGTCTTGGTGCTATCCACAGATGTGAGGGTTTACTTCTGGACTCTCAATGGATTCTGTTCTGTTGATCTATATGTCTTTCTCATTGCAGTACCGCACTGTCCTGCTTATGGTAGCTCTGTGATAAATTTTGAGATCAGAAGTGGAAGTCCTCCGAGTTTGTTCTTTTCTAGGTTATTTTGGGCCCCTTGTATTTCTGTATGAAATTTAGAACCAGTTTGTTAATTTCTGCCAAGAAGCCATTGGGTTTTTTTTTTATAAAGATTGTGTTGAATATTTAAATCCATTTGGGAAGTACTGCTAACTATATTAAGTCTTCTCATCTGTGAACATGAGATGTCTTTCCATTCATTCTCAGAATCTTGAAACTTTCCAGGGTTGCACATCCTGGAATCCTGTGTGTTTGTATGTTGTCCACTCCTGGGAATTCAGTCACCTTCTTTTACCACATAAGGTCTCTTGCCCTTATCACCCCCACAGACTTCTTGCCATATTTTGCTTCCATGACTTGGCTCCCTTCTACTGCCAGCAGCTGGGTCTGTCCCAACTCATAGCAGCATCTAGTTGTCAGGTCACAAATCAAACTAGTCTGGACCACCCAGTGTCTACAGTCTCTTAGCCCCCAGTCTCCTCCTTGAAGTAACAGGCAAGGTGAGGATTCTTGATTATGGTGAGAGTTTTCCATCTGTATCATTTCCCTGTGGGGTAGCCAGAGGTTGGGTAATAGAAACAGAAGCATATGCATGCGCGCACGCGCGCACACACACACACACACACTTGCATGAATTTGCCACTAAATTCAATCAATAAAGGCCCAGAGGAGGTGTGCAAACACTCAAGAAGGTCCTAGTATCCTCACGGAGGGAGTTTGGGAAACTAAAGATGGAAGAGCTTGAAGTGGGTCTGTGCTGACTTGAAACACCCGCAATCTCATTTACAGAGCGTATACGAGAGAGTCTCACAGATCCCTGAAACTTCTCCGTGTCTTCTTCCTCTTCTCCTTCATCAGTACCAGGAAGTTCATTTTTACAAATTAGTCCTTCTTTTCAAAAAAAAAAAATTCTGTATGTATTTTATTTTTGGCTTTACTGGGTCTTCCTTTCTGCACGAGGGCTTTCTCTAGTTGCGGCGAGTGGGGCCAACGCTCTAGTTTCAGCATGCAGCCTTCTTGCAGTGGCTTCTGTTGTTGCCCAGCATGGCCTCTGGAGTGCATGGGCTCACTAGTTGCGCACACGGACTTTGTTGCCCTTCAGTATGTGGACTTTTCCCAGACTAGAGATGGAACCTGTGTCCCCGGCACTGGCAGGGGTATTCCTAACTGCTGGACCACCAGGGAAGTCCTAACAAATTAGTCCTTCTTGACAATTGGAAATGCTTTGTTTATCCTGCTTGGGACCAAGAGAAGTTAGATGGTCCCATTTTCCTCTGGGAGCAGGGCCATTTGGTCCTGGAAGCCTGCTGTGCCCCTGAAGAAGATGGCAAGTTGTCACTTCCTTGGGCGTTTGCAGCTCTTAAAGGCAATTAACATTTCAGCCTTCCACTTAAATATTCCAGCCACAAGTGCCACCTGTATATGATGGCACTGGGGTGGATGCTTCCAGAAGGCCGGGCATCTGTGCTCTTAAGAGACTCCAAATAGAGCATGTTGATAATGTAGAATTAGACCATTGTACCCTTTGTGCTTCTATGAATAAAGATGGTCTGTTATTTTAGTTTGAATTTTCCCTTATAGTTCTGTAGGGCACAACTTCAGATTGGAAAGAAAACCTTCACGGGCGCCAATTGTGCTTTACTGGGAAATTCAGAAAACCCATGTTACTAGGGGCACCTCACATGTATGGATATTTCTTAGGAAGAGATAGATTTTAATATTCTGAGCCGCTTTATCTATAAGAGAAATTCCTCCAAACCTGTTTTTCTACCAGTTTTACTCAGGTGAGGTTAAACTCTGCTGCGGTGACAAACCAGCCCCGAAATCTCAGTGGCTTTATATAATAAAATACATTTCTCACTCATGCTGTCTCCTGAAGCACTGCTTTCAAGTTGAGGGGTGGGGGTGGGGGAAACAGTGGTCTTTGGGAATTTCTCTGTTGGGCTGATGAAGTCCTTGCCCCCGCAGGTGTGGCTGTGTGGGGGCAGCATGGAGGTCCTGCCTTGCTCACGGGTGGCCCACATCGAGCGGAAGAAGAAGCCATACAACAGCAACATCGGCTTCTACACCAAGAGGAATGCTCTGCGGGTTGCCGAAGTCTGGATGGACGACTACAAGTCTCACGTGTACATAGCGTGGAATCTGCCGCTAGAGGTAGGACCTTCCCCATCACCCTAGAACACTGACCTTGTGCTTAGCCGGTCACTGATCCCTTTACTAAGCCGATGCTTCCTCCCCAGAAAGATGCACACCCTTGCAGGATTATAAATAGACTTGGAGGTGGCTCACAGACCTCCAGGCTTTAGAACACCTGCTTTACATGGGGATTGGCACCAAGGAAATCTCTAAATCCATTTGCAGAGATTAGAAGGACTATAGTGTGTTAATTCCAGTCTCGTTATATTCATCTTGACACGGAGTGTCAAGACCTGCTCTTGAGTGTGCACTGTCTCTAGAAGATGCTAGCCCAGTTTTTGGCACCAGACTCCATCATCCGCTCTCCCTTCCCGCAGAGCTCCAGCTGCCCCGTGATGTAGGTCCCTACTGCACTCTGGATCCTTGCTTACACGGCTCTTCAGTTCTCTTCCATATTCCACCCAGAATATAATCTAGGAAAATTCCCATTACTACAGCCCCATAGGAGTCTTGTATGGCAGTTGTACACAGGCTTGTTTGGAATTCCAACCTTGCCACTTGTAATTATGACATGTTGAACAAATCTAATTATCATCTCTGTATCTTAGGTTCCTCAGTTATCAAATGGGGATTATAGCAAGCCCTCCTTCCTTTAGGTCGATTGTGAGAACTAAATTGGAAGTACTTAATCTGAGTATTAAGCACTAAAGCTAAGGACATGTGATGTACTGGAGCAATGCCTGGCACAGGATGTGAAATGTTGGCGAGTGTTTTTGTCCTTCATAGCCCAGTTTGCTGACCTGTACTCTCAACCACAGTCAGGTTTAGCTGTTCAGCTGGAGCTCCTGTAGTGTCCGAGCCATGGAATTGTTCCCACTGAGAAATGGCAGCCCCTGTGTTTCAGGAGGCTGGAACCCCAGACCAGAGAAGTGCAGTCAAATATGTCTAGGTTGGTGGATAAACAGGATACAAGTGAAGAATTTTTTATCATTGTTGTTACAATTATTAAAATAATGTTCTAAAGCACTGAAAACCCCCTTCCGGCCACATAGCACTTTATAGCCATTAAGCTAGAAGTGATTTTCCACATTATTGTATAAAATAGCATCCTTTCTGAGCCCCTTGTACTGTCCCAGACACTCACTAAGGTTCTTGTTTGCAATATCTCCTTTACCCCTCATAACAACCTCATGACAGAGGAACTACCTGCCCTGATGTCCTCATCTATAGAGTCGAGATTGGTAACCTTGATCTCATAGGGCTCCTGGGAAGATAAAAATGAGACTTAAAACAGAGCATAACAAATACTGTGTTCAATAACTGCTAGTTTGATGTGAACCTATTATGATGTCCGTTTTATAGATGGGTAAACCGCAACTCTGGCAAGTGAAATTGACTTGCTTAAGGTCCTACACCCAGCACATCATAGGGCAGGGATGTGAAATGGTGTTTTCATTCAGCTCTGCCTACAGCCCTGTGACATCATTGGAACAAGTGTTGTTATTTTTCTTGTTTGAGATGAGAGCAGTGACCTAGGCTGGGGATGTGACTTTGGGTCAGAAGAACTCAAAGCTGGTCTCCCAATGCTTTCTCCATCATTACAAACCACCTCGGGTCCCTAATGCCAGTGTTCCTTACCTGGCTTTTCACAAATGACCATCCTCATTAATCTTGCTAAGTATATTAAAATAAAGAGTTAAAATATCACTGCCCAGGTTTGCCTTTGAATGTTAATAAGTTTGACATTTAAAGGGACTTTTCTTTTAAAAATCCCTGTTCGGCTGCCGAAGAAGAAATCTTAATGAAATCGTTTAAACTCTTCTCCTCTTGCTCTAAAATGCTCCTTGCCTGCCCGTCATAGTGAAGGGGTATCCTGTCTCTACCCGATCAGAGCCGTCTTGTGGCTGACTCTGGAGTCATATTTCAGCTACTTTATTTTCCCCTGTCAGCACACAGCAGCCCATTACAGGTTCATTTCTGTAAAAGCAGAGTGAATTATTCATTAGAACATCATTACAAGCTTTGCAATGGAAAATTATTTTCACATCTGCATATAATGAACTTCAGAAAGAGCCTGCAAAGGGGGGAAGGAGGAATTACACATGTACAAAAAAGAAAGGCAGGAGGTGGTTATAGGCATTTCTTTTCTGGTCTTAATCAAATAATTCCTGTAATAATTGGGTCTGAGAGTCACTGAAGAAATGGCAGAGATGGAGCTGGGAAGGCAGGTTGTCAGTATCCGAGTATTGCAGGATCCCTTTCATGGTGATGAGGAAGGCTGGCTTGGGGGGCTGCATACTGTGCCCAGGGGACAGTACTGGCTAGCTCAGAGCTAAAGGATCACGTACAGGCTTCAGATTTCTCTCTGATGGTTTCCCCGAAGGTGACACTGCCCGTCCCCTGCTCTGGTCAGAGCCTCCCAATCACTAAACCCTTTGCTTGCTTTCAGAATCCAGGAATTGACATAGGCGATGTCTCTGAAAGAAGAGCCTTAAGGAAAAGTTTAAAGTGTAAGAATTTCCAGTGGTATCTAGACCACGTCTACCCAGAAATGAGAAGATACAATAACACCGTCGCCTACGGGGAGGTAATGAAGACCACACTTGCTCTCGACTTGGATGGCTGTGCAGGGGGCTGTGGATCACTTGGCTGGGGGTGAATGACTTTGTCATTCACTCATTCATTCATTCAGTGATTAGTTTTTTTAGAGGTGCCGGCCTTCACAGCAAGGCTCTCAGCAGCTGGTATGAATGAATTGTGAATTGTGCGTGTGTGCTCAGTCGTATCCAACCGTTTGCAGTCCCCCCGGACTGTAGCCCTCCAGGCCTCTCTGTCCATGGAATTCCCCAGGCAAAAATACTGGAGTGGGTTGCCATTTCCTTCTTCAGGGGATCTTCCCAGCCCAGGGATCGAACCCTCATCTCTTTGTCTTCTGCATTGCAGGCAGATTCTTTACCATCTGCCTGATGGTACCAGGGAAGCCCCACCAACTGGTGGTGAGATACATGTAATAAATGTCACAATGGGGATGTGGGCCATCATTTGGCCTATGGTGTGGAATGGACCATAAATTCTGTTTAGGGCATTTGAGGTACCCTGGGACCTGTACTGAGACGCTGAGCGGCAAGTTGGATGTAAAGAGAGGCGGAGACTAGACCTGTCTGTCCAGGGCCCACTGCCATATGCACTGGGGTCACTTGTGGCCAAAGAAAGGATACAGATGCTCTTCTCAGATTTTCTATGCTGAGACAATGTCACTTTTCTGAACATTAAAACAGATTGACGTTTCTCATAGTAAAAATGCCATAAATTTGCATTTTGAAAATAGCAACAATAGCAGTGAACACTTAAAATGTGCCGGTACTGTTCTAAGTGTTTTTCACATATGAGTTCAATCATCCTTACTTTATCAGGTAGTAGTGTTATTCCCATTTTATTGATAGGAACACTGAGACTTGGAGACATTAAATACATTATCTAAAGTCTCATAGCTTATAAATCATGAAGCCAGGATTAGACTTAAGCATTCTAATCCCAAAGGTAATGTGTACATTTGGACGTATGGTCTGATTTATTACATGTGTGTTTATATTTCTTTATACTAAAAATATTTATTTTTATATAAGTGTGTGTGTATGTGTGTGCATGTGCTCTGTTGTGTCCAACTCTTTGCGACCCCATGGACTGTAGGCTGCCAGGTTTATACATATACTTTTTATATACACATCTATTTGTATTGCTATATGTATATATGTATATATATATATATATATATATATATTTTAAACTAAAACCAGACTGTCCACAATGCCTTATAATTTGAAATGTTACTAATAATAGAGAATATTTTCCTGTGTCCTTAAGCACTTTCCTGCAACATTATTAATGGCTGTATAAGATGGTATAAATATATATATATATATATATGTTTTAAACTAAAACCAGGCTTTCCACAATGCCATATAATTTGAAATGTTACTAATACTAGAGAATATTTTCCTGTGTCCTTAAGCACTTTCCTGCAACATTATTAATGACTGTATAAGATGGTATTAAAAAGTATGTAAGTTTTAAACTAAAACCAGGCTGTCCACCGTGCCTCGTAATTTGAAATGTTACTAACGAGACAATATTTTCCTGTGTGGTTAAGCCTTTTTGTGCAACCTTATCAATGGCTGTATAAGATGGTACCTTTTGTGTATGGCTATGTTTTGCTTGAAAACATAGACATTTCCATTGTTTCTTTTGTTTGTTTGTTTAACATTGTAAGAGCACTGCTGACAACATGCGTGTATGTAAGCGATGGGACATCTGCCCCGTGACATCGCTGGGTTTTTGGATGAGGGATTAGTGACACAGACTCTGGTCAGACCTCAGGGAGCCAAGTGCTCTGGACCCAACAGAGATGCCCCACTCGCTCTGCATTTGGGTTTCTTCCCAGGGCTCCCTGGAACTCCTGAAGCGGAGAAAACCCTCATGGGCTTAGAGCATCTCCTTTTTCTGCAGTTGTGCCTTTTTCTATTTTATGGGAGAAAGCTTTTGGAGGAATTAAGTCAGCCCCAGGTTAAATCATCAAAGTGCGGGCAAAGTGTCCCTTCCGAGCTGGAATCTAGATGCGGAGCTTGCTTCTTATGGGGCTTCCCAGGTGGCTTGGTGGTAAAGAGTTCCCCTGCCAATGCAGGAGTTGCAAGAGACGTGGGTTTGATCCCTGGGTTGGGAAGCTCCCCTGGAGGAGGAATTGGCAACCCAGTCTAGTGTTCTTTCCTGGAGAACCCCATGGACAGAGGAGCCTGGTCGGCTACAATCCATGGGGTCACAAAGAGATGGATAAGGCTGAGCAACTGAGCACGCACGCCCACAAGTGTAGTGGTTGGGGACGCACGAAGATTCGAGAGCCAGCCTGCTGGATTCAAGCCCAAGTGGCTCCTTTTAGCATCTGTCCCCTCTTCTGTAAAATGAGGATGTGAAAGTACCTACGTCGTGGGGTTGTTGGGAAGATGAAAAACAAGACGCCATATACAGACTTCTTAGCGCAGTACCTGGCACATCCTGCTAGCTATTAATAGGCACACACTGCCTTGTCTTCCTCAAAATAAAAACATGTTTCTTTTTGTTTTTGGTTTTCAAAGATCAAACATAAAGATCGCATGGAAAAACAGTGGGTGGTGAAAGGATTATTCATAAGACAATTGGGTAAATCACCCAGCTCTTTGGAAAAAAAGAACAATTTAGATTCTTAAAGCAAATCCCAAAGTATATTTCAGATGAACTATAAGCATTAAATGAAAGAAAAGAAACCATAATGGAACCATCCAGAAATAGATATGTATCTGAACTCTTAAAGGGGAAGGGCTTCCTAAGAGCAAAAGCTATGGAAGAAAATGCAAAGGAAAATGACATTTGATATGGGCTCATAAATATTAAAATAACCTATATATCAACTGAATGGAGAAATAATATGCCAAGGTGGAAATCTGTATATCATAAATACGATAGATGAATGGATAATATCATTAATGTATAATGAACTCCACAAATAAATTTTAAATGAAATTTTTTATTTAAATGAGAAAACATCCCCAAAGAAAAAGAGACAAAGTACAAGAGAAAATACAAGTGGGTGGAATTTTTATATTTATTTCATAATCAAAGAAGTTAAAACAAAATTTAAAATACACTGGGGTAAAAATAAAATAAAATACACTGAGGTAGCATTTTGTCTTACACCAAAAGAACAAAGATTCCTTTTTGGAATATCTGTTGGTGCTTCGCCAGCCAGGTCTTGATAATATGAAAACCACAGATCCTCTGATGAGAGTGCAAATTGAAACAAGCTTTTTAAAAAGCAATTTGAACCACATGTATTAAAAGGCTTACTTCCTCTCCACTCTATCCCAAGCAAATAATCTGAAATGAGGACAGAGATTTGCCAGAAACATTGTTCATCTCAGGGATTTTTGTTTCTTCGATCAAACATTTGAATTTAACTTGAAGGTTAGTTAAATTGTAGTTTGCAATATTTTGCAGCATTTCAAAAGATATATACAAAAGTTTGATGCAAGAAAAGTATTGATAATATAAGCCTTAAGAGAAAAAAGTCAGGATTATGAAATTAGATTAGCCACTATTTTAAATTAGTAGTAAAGAATCCCCCTGCAATGCAGAAGATGTGGGTTCAATCCCTGGCCCGGAAAGATCCTCCAGAGAATGAAATGGCAACCCATTCCAGTATCCTTGCCTGGGAAATCCCATGAACAGAGGAGCCTGGTGGGCTGCAGTCCATGGGGTCACAAAAGAGTTGGAGATGACTTAGAGACTAAATAATAAAGTAAGACAAGAGAATGGGAGGTGGAACTTCTACATAGGGGACAGGCAGTTTTTAACGTGGTATTTTCTCATGTTTCCTCAATTATCACTAATATTTATATGATAATTTTATGATTAGAAGAAAAATAGTTACAAAAAGAGAAACAGTAAAAATGATAAAATGCTAGGAGGCTAGGGCACCGTTCCACAGGCTGTGCACTGCACATTTCACATGAAGCAGAGTGTAAATGACATCTCTGGAGCTGAAGGTTGGAATGGCCTTAGAGGTAACATAGAGATCATAATCTGATTTTTGGAGGAGGGAAAGCTTTTGTTTTTGCAAAATTTTCCTCTTTTTTAAGTAATAAATTCAATACATACAGTATACAGAAAATATGAAGATAAAAACAAAGCTTATTTCAGATCCCAATTCCCAGCTATGATCAGTATTAACAAGTCAGGGCACGGGCCTCTTGTTACTCCTTCTGTGCTTGCTGAGCCCACTGTATACTGAAATATATTTCAGATGGACGACAGTATTAAGTGGAAGACATCAAACTGAGTCAAATTCAGTCTAGTAACAAAATCTAGCCTTATTCAGACAACTCTGATTTAACATTCCTATGGGTTGTTTTCACTACACCCTGCCTAACCACCTATTCTGTGTGTACTTTCTGCTTTTTGTTTTTCACGTACGATTCTGTTTGAGTGTTTTTCTGTAGGCCGGTGAATATTTCTGGTTTTAATGCTCCAGTCTCTTTCCTTAGTTTTTAACTCACTTGTTTGGAGGTTTTTTTAAAAAGCTTTCTAGTTCTGTAAACTGTATATATCCCGTTCTTAGTCACATTTTGGTAACTTCTATTTTTTAAAAAAAATTCTAATTTAAAGATTTTTTAAAACTTTTTTTTGGTAGTTCCCCTACCAGGCAAGGCACCAGTGCCCCCTGCATTGGAAACATGATTTCTAAAATGACATTTTAAATTAACTCTACTTCAGTAAGGCTTCCCAGTTGGCGTTAGTGGTAAAGAACCTGCCTGCCAATGCAGGAGACTTAAGTGGGTTCGATCCATAGATTGGGAAGATACCCTGGAGAAGGAAATGGCAAACTACTCTAGTATTCTTGCCTGGAGAACCCCATGGGCAGAGGAGCCTGGTGGGCTACAGTCCATGGGGTCCCAAAGAATCAGAAATGACCGAAGTGACTGAGCATGCACGCATACTTCAGTAAAAGCTGAAGCTCTGATACTTTGGCCACCTGATGCAAAGACCCGGCTCATTGGAAAGACCTTGATGCTGGGAAACACTGAGGGCAAGAGGAGAAGCGGGGCAACAGAAGATGAGGTGGTTGGATGGCATCACTGACACAATAGACATGAGTTTGAGCAAACTCTGGGAGATAATAAAAGACAGGGGAGTCTGGTGTGCTGCAATCCATGGGGTTGCAAAGAGTTGGACATGACTTAGAGACTGAACAACATACTTCAATAAAAAGGAAAAAAAGTAAAAAGATATGCAAATATGTTATGTCCTGACTCACACATGTAAGATATTGTCTTCCCAATGCACAAGCACTTCGATGTGTACAGAAACATTAAGCCACCAACTCTTGCTCAAAATTCTGTGCTTGGCTCATATGGAAAAACCTCCGCTCCCTAGTTCACTTTTGCTCATCTTTTTTTTTTTCTTTAAGCATTATTTATATGAAATACAGCACACATAAAATATGCATAAACCCAACATGTGCAGCATAATAATTAAGGTAAAAATCCATGTAGACATCCCCTGAGTGAAAAATAGAACATCATTAGCATCTCTTTTACTTAATCCTTTTTAACATTTAGCTCAGGAGTCACCTCCCCTTAGTCTTTGAAGCCTCAGGTGGGGTGAGGGCATTCTCTTTGCTGCCCTGGCATAATTCAGTTATTGTACTAGCTCTTCCTGTGACTGTCTCTCTCAGCAGCCCATCCTTCAGAGCAGGTACTCTTGGGTTTTTCAGTCTTTGTATTTGTTAAACTTAGCACAATACCAAACTCTTAGCAGCTTCAGGAAACATTTATTAAGTTACTGCACAATAGATTTGTTTGCATAAACATCAGGAAAAAATTTAAAAGACTAGCATTCTGATATCATTATATGGAACACATATGCCCTAAAAACATTAATATTCTTAATATGTAAAGTGCTCTTACAAATCTATAATAAAACCACTTGAGATCCCAATGGGGAAAGAAGCCAGTAATTCTCAAAAAGGGAAATAATTGCTAAACATGAAGCCTTCCAACTTACCATTCAGTGTAAATTTATAAAAATAGGATATCTTTTGTCAGTCCCCCAAACAATATTTTGTTATTAATTTTATCACCTCTCATTTTTACTTTACTTATTTTAAAAACTTTGTTGGACTTCATTAGACATTTCTACCATATTGCTCTTCTGTATACAAAAAAAAAGAGAAGAATACAAGCAAAATGCCTGGGTAAAAGTATTGCTAAAATTTCATCACTTTCAAAAATCTAACTCTTCTGAATTACTTTTTTACTCAGAAGTTGTCTGAGTTTTTCCATATCATTGTACTAAGAAAGCACTCACAGCAAGCATTTCTTAAAGCATCTATTAATATAAAGGAACTAAAGTTGTGGTGCTAAGTTGTGGTCTCCTAAGCTAGCTTTGCCGTTCTTTAAAGATTGCTTGCTTTGGACCATCTTTGGAAATGTCTGATTCATCACTTCTCTCTACACCCCTCTTTATGGACTTTTGGAAGAGTGGGTTTAAAAGAATGCTTCTCTTTAAGAAAAGAAAAAGAGAATTTCAAACACAAGTATTTAAGACAAAGAATTGGTTCCAGGAGAAAAGGGGTGATATTCAGCTATCAGAAGCTGTCTTTCCTCTGGCTTGAAACCAGTAGGCTACAAAAAAATGCTCCTCTATTGATTTTTTTCCCCCAAGCTGGTGTTCTTTTTCTTTCTTTCTCTCTCTCCAGCTTTATTGATCTGTAATTGACATTTGAAAGTGTTAATTGCTCAGTCGTGTCCTTACTCTTTGCGACCGCATGAACTGTAGCCCACCAGGTTCCTCTGTCCATGGGATTCTCCAGGCAAGAATAGTGAGTGGGTTGCCATTCCCTTCTCCAGGGGATCTTCTTCACCCAGGGATTCAACTCGTGTTTCCCCATTGCAGGCAGATTCTTTACTGTCTGAACCACCAGGGAAGCTAATATTGTATAAGTTTAGGTGGTACAATCTCCACAGTAACAGTTGCAACCACCTCAGATCGCCGCAGTTGCCATCTTGAGTGAATCTGGCGGGAGCTGCAAGATGAACTAGCCAATGGGAGATGTGCGTTTTTCGCAGCCCTTGGGCCCTGTGTGTCTCAGTCGCTCAGTCCAGCCCGATTCTGTGTGACCCTACGAACTGTAGCCTGCCAGGCTTCTCTGTCCATGGACTTCTCCAGGCCAGAATACTGGAGTGGGTAGCCTGTCCCTTCTCCAGGGGATCTTCCCAACCCAGGGATCAAACCCAGATCTCCGGCATTGCAGGTGGATTCTTTACCAGGTGAGACGCAAATGAACCCACAAGGGAAGCAGATTCTTTACCATTTGAGCTACAGGGAAGTCTGGTTCAGACGGTAAAGTGTCTGCCCGCAATGCAGGAGACCCGGGTTCAATCCCTGGGTCGGGAAGATCCCCTGGAGAGGGAAATGGCAACTGACTCCAGTACTCTTGCCTGGAAAATCCCATAGACAGAGGAGCCTGGTAGGCTACAGTCCATGGGGTTGCAAAGAGTCGGACACGACTGAGCGACTTCACTTTAAATGGTACAACTTGTTAATATGATACCTTTACGTATCGCAAAATGACCACCATAACATTTGCTAACACGTCACATATGCTGAGAATGAGGGATTATGTGCTTGGTGGGGTACGCGGTCACAGGCAGAGGGTCGGTGCCCACACCACCCACTGGAGGACTGTCTTTCTTGCTAAATGATCTCCTCCAAGATTCAAGCTTTGGTCCTTACTTGGAGGTGGGGGTGTGGAGGGGAGGTCTCATGGCGTCTGCATTAAGAAGTCAGAACCAAGTCAGGGTGGAGTGGTGGGTGGGGAACAGTCACTCTGCCAGACAAGGTCTGACGGGTCCTGTTTGGCCTGTTCCTGCAGCTTCGCAACAACAAGGCAAAAGACGTCTGCTTGGACCAGGGGCCAGTGGAGAACCACACGGCAATACTGTACCCGTGCCACGGCTGGGGACCCCAGGTAGGAGCCCCGTCTCTGACCAGGAAGGGAGGAAGTTCACTGTACCTACTGGGGATTCGTAGGACTTCTGGAAACTTCTTTTGTCCTCTCCTTTGGTAGTTGTTGCCTGTTCTGAGCAGGCGAGGGGCTTTCTGGTGGTTTCTCTACAGGAAAGAGGGAGAAGATTCACAGGTGGCTGCATCAACACAATTAAGAGGATAAAGGGGCACATTTCCTACTGAAAGGAAACTGTGCTTACATTTTGGTGTCATTTGCTAATAGGCAAATAGATGTCACATGTACGTATATCTACTGATAACCAAGCAAGCCTGCTTACAACATCAAAGAAAGAGTTAGTCGCTTCCCTCATGAGAATCTGATTGGTGTGTGTGTTCCGAAAGGCCATTGTAAGCTTTTCTTTAATGTTTATTTAGCTATTCAGTTGCACTGGGTCTTATTTGCCACACACAGGAACTGTAGCTGTGGTATGTGGGATCTAGTTCCCTGAGCAGGGATCGAACCCAGGCCCCCTGCATTGGGAGTGTGGAGTCTTAGCCACTGTCATCAGTTTGGTGGTGAGTATGGCCCGGTCTGCAAGCGCTGGTACAAGTGCCGAGCACTGATTGGGAAGGAGTAATGTGCTGGCAGTAACATTTTAAAGAATACACGTGTCTTCTGGTCTCTCAGGAGATAGCAAAGATAACCAAAGAGGGCAAAACAATCAACCAACACAATAAGAGTAGAACTTGGTAAATGAATTTCCTTTGACAGCTTTGTGTTAGCCCATGGTGTGCGTGCGCATGCGTGCGTGTATGGACGTGTGCACCGGGAGAGCTTAGCAGGTCCTCTAGAACTGGGAGAAAACAGATCCAAAGACATCATGAGACTTGACATGCATAAAAATGTAAAACACTTTTATGTTAACCAGTAGTAATAAAAGGCAGGCCACAAACTGGGAAGACATATTCAATTTCAGAGGCACACGAGATGGTTGGTTCTAAGCCAGACTCATATTCTCCTTTTGTTCGTCTATGAAAGGAAGACAGTGGACACAATGCCCCATAAGATCCCTTCATCTCTCTCATGTTCTCTGAAGACACCCGTTCACCAGCAAGTTCACGTGCATCGGGCACACACACATCCTCTCATGTGCATTCATGGCTCATGGGCTTGCTCTGCTCCGGGCACTTGTGCTTTCCTGTTAAGCTGGCATCTGGAAAGAGACGAGCCGTATTTCCTCTACTGTCCCCGCAGGTAGTTCTCATAATCCAGACTCCCACTCCCTTCATTGTGCGACCAGTCCTCTGAAAGTAATTCCAGGCAGGTTGAATCCTGAGTCGTTTGCTCCTTGTGCTCACTCTAGGAGACAAGCAGGCAGCGTGGAGAAACTGAGGCACGGAGAAGGAGTGCTTGTGAGCAAAGCCGACCAGAATCCAGGCATTTTAAATTCAAATCCAGTCCAATGAATTCAAGATAATTTCCTGCCTACTCCCTGCCCAGACAGGAGCTGATCACCAAATTCTCCTCTCTTTCTGGGAGCTTGGTGGCCTTCAGAGCCCAGTGCAGAAAATATCTAGAACGCATCTTTTACCCATCCCTTCTGCATTCACAAACTTTTCCAAATGGATGCTCCTGCCACTTCGTTGATGATGGAACAGCAAACCAAATCAGGCTCATCCTTAATCCCCCCAATTCTGGGAGGAACACCTGTTCGCATGGGCCATGGTTGTCCATCAGCTGATTTTGTGAAAGCAAATCTAATTTTTTTTTTTTCTGTTCTACCACATGTCCTGAATTAGAGTGCAGCCTTGGTGCTGCTTGCTCGCTACCTGCCAGGCTGCCTCGCCCCTCGCTCATCAAGCTTTCCTCCTATTCCTTCCCAAACCTGCTCACCCTAGGCTCGGAGCGTCTCCCCACCAGTCACGTGCCCTGACATCCTTTTAAACCACCTGGTAAAGTGCTGTGGGCAAACTGCATCAAAGCTCCTGTAACTAGGCATGTTCCACAGACATTGTTAGCTTAATTAATGGACTCTGTGTTGTAATTTATTATCAGACAGCAATTAAACAGAGATAAAATAGGCACTGAGGAGGGTAATTTCCTGTCTTCAACATGTGTTTGTCAACAAGATGGAAATGGTTCCCGGCCTCTCAGAAGAGCCTGCTCAATCATGAGCTAGTGACCAGCCTTGCTCTGGTCTGGTTACTAATTTGCATCAGACAAACATCGGTTTCTTTTCCGAGCCAGTGTTTTGTTTAAAGGTATTTTTCTTTAAACTGGCTATCTTTTATCTTAAAATTATTTTAAAATAAACTTTACATCACAAGCATAGAAAAAATAGATGTCAAGGGCATAGCAGCAGCTTTTGTTGTCAGCTTGAACCTGTTTAGAGTGGGAGGTCTTCTCTAAGCAGGCCCATGGCTCCCTGCCCCAGCCTTTGCCATCTTGGGCCCAGGTCTGGTGTTGAGGGGGTGGGCGGTGGGGTGACTTCACTGGAACAGCCAAGGACTCCCTGCCAGGATGCCAGCTGTGGGATTGTCCTCCTCTGCCAGCCCCTTCTTGCTCTCTCTTCCAGCCTACCTGGTCAGCCTGTCAACCCTCCCCATTCTGGAAGGCAAAGATCAAGAAGGGAGCACAGAGCGGGCAGCCCTGGGCCCAGGGCCTCATTCTTTAATCCCCCTCCAAAGGCTCTGAGGCTCCTCTCAAGCCCCTGTGTCCGAGCTGCTGCCCGAGGTCCCAACGATGCAGTTCATGCCAGCCCTCTGGCCAGTGCTATGGCTGGCTTGAGACAGGGAACAAAATGTTGACAATAAACCCATTTCTGGTTAGGGCAACGTTTAATCCTGTACCTGTCAGGCAGGTAGTGACCACCCTCCCCCCAGCTCCCTTTGAAACTTGAGATTCAGGCTATGCCAGGCCACTTCTCAAACTATCCTGTGATCTCTGGTCTTGAATGCTGGGCTCTACCATCTGATTCATGGCAGGAGACCTAGCTCGTGTCCTTGAGCCCCCAGCGTCCTCTAGTTCACAGCAAGATGTAGAAGGAAGGCTTGAAGCAAGCGTGGAGGCAGTGCCAGGCAAGTGTAACGTAAGAGCAGAGGTGTAGAGATGGGGGTCGGGGTGGGATACGGCGTGTTCAGGGAAACACCAATGCGTGGCTGAAGCATGTGATCCAGGGCAGCCATATATGTGTGTGCTCAGTCATGTCTGTTTCCAGCCCCATGAACTGTAGCCCGCCAGGCTCCTCTGTCCATGGGATTTTCCAGGCAAGAATGCTGGAGTGGGCTGCCATTTTCTACTCCAGGGGATCTTCTCCACCCAAGGGTCAAACCCGCATCTCTTGTGTCTCCTGCATTGGCAGGCAAGTTCTTCACTACTGGCACCACCTGGGAAGCCCTATGCCTCATATACCAGCCTATTTTTTTTTCCAATTTATAATGCTATTTCAGTTTTTATATAATGTTGTTTTCACTTTTAAGGTTAATTCATTCTTTTTATAATATAGCTTTGCAAGTTTCTTTTAAAGTTTTATTTTCAATACTTTTTAGTATTTCACAGGACTTTTTGCACTATCCCACTGTGCTTCCTTGAAAGCCACAAGAGAGAACAGTCTTAAACATTTGTTTTTGATGTGGGTCATTTTTTAAGTCTTTATTGAATTTGTTACCATATTGCTTCTGTTTTAAGATTGGGATTTTTGGTCATGAGGTACATGGGATCTTAGCTCCCCGACCAGGGATCGAACTTACCCCCTCTGCATTGGAAGGCAAAGTCTTAGCCACTGGACAGCTAGGGAAGTCCAAGTTTTGCAAGTTGTTGACAAAACATATGGTCAGGTAACCCCACCACAATCAAGAGCAGTTCTGCACCGCCCCAACACTCCCTGAAGCCCCTCCTCATTTGTCCCTCCCTCTGCCCCCAAGTGTTTTTATCCACTCCAAGCTGAGGATCAGCTGCACTGGGGGTGTTTCTGTGCGCCATCCGCACAGCCTCACCGATTCCAGTGCCGTTTCCTCCTCCGGAGCTGAGGACCACAGCGCCCAGCAGCCACGCCATGGACAGGGCATGGCCAGCAAGGGTTCTGAGTGCAGGGGCCCTGGGGACTCCACACAACACTCTTTGAAAGAGCTCCAAGCTCTCATGGGACCTTCTGAAGATGAGGTATGCCCCTTGGAGAGGAACTGAGAGGAGCCAGCTCTGTTTAGGAACTCCCCAGTGAGTTCCAGGGAGGGTATCACAGGTCTCCCCTGTTTGTCCGTCTGTCAGCACATTTAGTCTTCCTCTCCCCTCTTTTCTGAGAAGCACACATTCCCTCCTCCAGCTAATTCATCAGCAGAGTGATAGATGAGAATTCCTTTATCCCGTAATTAAATGTAATCTGATCTTGGGCTTCCTCTTTGATGGCTTCATCGTTTAAGCGATCCATCATTCAAACACCTTGTCATGATGATGCATCTTGCCAATAAGGCACTAGTGCCCCCATGGAGTGATGGGGCTTAGAGTGTGGAAGGCACTTGGAACACGCCAAAGTTAATGACACCCAGCAGCCTCCGCTTCCAGATAAAGTTGTGTAAATGGTGGGGCGCAGGGGACGGATCCTCGGAGAGCACATTGGAGTTTGCACCCCAGGACGAGGTGGCTTTGCCTTAGTAGGGAGGCTGGTGATTCTGGGAGCAAACCTCTCACCTTCTGTAAGAGGCAAACCATGTGACCCCTCAGTTCCTGGAAACCGCTACAAAGCAGGGAAACCTTAGCTTTTGAGGGAAACCAGCATTGGAGAAGCGAGGGCAGGTATTTTTTTTTATGTCTGGGAAACCTATACACACACAAAAGAGGCCACAGAAAACAGGAGAGACCACACCAGGGACACCCTGAAGCCGGACACCCTGGAGAGTCTGGGCTGCGGTATTTCCACTTTCTGTCTCTTATGCAATATTTTGGGCTCCCTTGGTGGTTCAGCAGCAAAGACTCTACCTGCAGTTCAGGAGACTCGGGTTCAATCCCTGGGTTGGAAAGATCCC